TGCTGGATTCATGGTCTGAATCGCAAAATGAAAACATAGTGTTGATGTTATGGTTCACTCCTTTATCCACCATAGAAAATTCTCATTCTTCATACACTTTAAACATAATAATACTGAACTAGAAGGAACCTAGCAGAAGATTCCTTGCTATTCATCTGTCTGTTGTGTGTGCATTTGGGTGAACTGTGACATACAAAACTTCATGTAACTAAAAGAATTGTGGGATATTTAAATGAGGAAAGGCGATTTTCCTATATTTTGTGGCTTTAAATCAGGCCAGATGAATACAATAAAGGATTTCTGCTCTTTCACATTTCTCTCTCACTATACACCAAGAGGGTGTGAGGTCGGTTAGCTATTATGGAACTTTTGACAGAGCTGGAGGATAGTACACATTGAAATGGGTTATTGCCTTTTTGGAAGACTTCTTAGAATTTTTCTAGTTAAGGTGGCACAGTCATGATTCTGCCCAAATACAGAGCTGGACTATATGACTTCACCATCCTTCCCAGCAATCTGATACCCTGCCTGTCCTTTGAGGTGCTAAAAAGGGGAACTCCTCAGTAAGTATCAGTTTTTTTCTCTCTGTGACTAAAGATGTTAAGACTTGTCCTCTCTCCCACTTTGCAACTGACATGGGAAGTACAGCTCTGAGGCCACAGCTGGACACATATAGATGAATGACGGGTTGAGTAGACAGGAATTACCTAGGACATCTTTCTCTCAGACTCTGGCACAGTGACTGGATATACCAGGTCCCCTCTGCGGGGTTTCGGTAGGAAACACAGTTGTTCACTGTGGCCATCCCCAGCAGAAAGTCAGCTTCATCTGGGATATTTCTCTTCTGGTTCGAGTCCATTTCTAAATAGGCTTCCTTCTCCTCTGAGTCGGTCTCAACAGCTATGCCTTTCTGGTAGTTATCCCCTTGGCAAGCCTGGATAAAAAAGATTTTCGGTTTGCCTGCAAGGGAAGGGCACTTCAAACCAGTGAAGTAAGAGGTCAGCTCATAGATGGGGGCTTCCTGCCCATCGCAGCCATAGACGATGCCCTTGTCTCCATGGGAAAGGATGCAGCAGACGAAGCAGTCTTTGCCATTGTGGTCCATGTGTTGGTAGTCTTTCAGGATCTCACAGATAGTCTTTGCTGTGGCATCTTTGTAATGCACTACCTCAAAATGAAGCTCACTAAAGGTGTTGCGCAAAGCCTCTGAAAAGTGAAGTACAAAAAGTCATATTACACCACAATAGTACCCAGAGCTAAAGAGAGCATTGATCAGATAAGAATTTGAACCAGAACTTAAGAACAAGATCCTCTATATTAGTGGCTAGATTCTAGTTGGAAAAAGTTTCCCAGTCTCGAGGCAACAAACAAAAGTAGAATACTATTGTTGGCCCATTGCCTTATTTCAGCTAGTCTACAAGATGAGTAAGCTGTTACTTAGGCTTAATACCAAACCAATCTAAAAAATAATTGTATTACTTACACTAATCAGAAAACAAAAACCGAAAGGACTTTTAACAAAATAGCCATACTTATTTTATTCTGAACGCTCTCAAAACTGTCAAAATAAAATATATGAATGTTTAAAAAGTCAAGTAGAACCAAAAGACCTATTACCAAAAAAACTATCCCTCTCTAGCCCTCCTATTACCCAGTCACATTCCACTTTCAAATTCTAACTGCTTTTTTTTGTTGTTATCAGCCTCCATTTTGTAATAAATTTTGGTACACTGCTATTTATTGATTGATAAATTTTAGACTTTTGTATTGAATTACTGATATGGTTCTCTTACACAATTGTTTACAATTTTTAGTAGAATCAATAGTAATGTTTGTATTACTAGTTTTTATTTAAACATAATATTATTTAATTATGCTTCCCTTCTATTTTTCAATTGTTGACACGATTATAGATGTCCCCCATTTTCAACACCTTTGCCCCCTGCCCTGGCCTTCACCACACTGTTGTCTGTCTCCAGGGGCTATGCGTATATATCCTTTGACTAATCTCTTCACCTTCTTTCATCCAATTCCCCCTCCCACCTCCCCTCTGATATGTCAGTCTGTTCCATGTATCCATCCTCTGGTTCTGTTGTGTCCCCACATGCTCTATCTTTGAGATGGTTCCATGTACATTTGAGAAGAATATATTCTCCTGCTTTGGGTTGAAATGTTCTGTTGTAAATATCAATTAAATCCTATTCCTGGCCCTTGGCAACCTGTTTGAAGCTACAAGTGAGCCACAGTTTGTGGCTGCCTCTGTGGGCATGGCAAGGCCAGCTTTTACCAGGACAGGGCCCAGAGGTGGGTCCACAAGCCTCTCCAAGCTCCCAGGATCTGCCTCCACCTGCCAGCTGGCTGTTAGGCTCAGTCACTGAAAGAACCTCTGGCAGAATGGGGAGAGTGCGGATAGTGGATACTATCTTGATACCATGGCAATGTTTTCACACACTGTAATACCTAACACATTCAACAGAAATACTAGTCATTTAGTTGAATTAAAGGCAAAGCTGGTTGCTACTTTTCAGTAAAAGCCCTTTAGTAAGATTTAATATTTTATCTTTATGTGTATACATTGTTTTAATTTTTTTAATTAAATCTTTATTGTTCAGATTATTACAGTTGTTCCTCTTTTTCCCCCCATAGCTCCTCTCCACCCAGTTCCCACCCCACCCTCCTCCGTCACTCCCCACCCACTGCCCTCATCCATAGGTGCACGATTTTTGTCCAGTCTCTTCCCGCACCCCCCACACCCCTTCCCCCCTGAGAAATGTCAGTCCACTCCCTTTCTATGTCCCTGATTCTATTATATTCACCAGTTTATTTTGTTCATCAAATTATTTATCTTCTTAAAGGATACCTTTCAGCATTTCATATAATACTGGTTTGGTGGTGATGAACTCCTTTAGCTTTTCCTTATCTGTGAAGCTCTTTATCTGACCTTCAATTCTGAATGATAGCTTTGCTGGATAAAGTAATCTG